GAATTAGGGTTAAGGATTAATTATAGTGACTTTTTAAAAAAAATATTTGTATTTTTGATTAAAAATATGTGATTTTGATTATAGCGAATTATGTCATTTAGATTGTTAATTAATAAAACAAACTTATTTTAACTATCTTTGATTTATATTTTTTAATAACATATTTGTATTTCAAATATGCTTTTAGTTACAATATTGGAGGAGAACATATGGATGATCCCGACTTTAATAGGAGGATCACCTAAGATTTTGTCAACAAATTAAACATGACATAGTCAAGTTGAAGGAAAAATGAAACATTTGTTTAAAATAATAATTCGCTATAGTTAATCTTTTTGTTCCTAATATAATCAAATTATGTTATTTAACAACATAAGATTATCAATATGCTCACTACAACAAAATTATCATATAGTGACACACATCCTATAGTGACACTATACATGTCACTAAAAATTACTTTTACCCACATAATAACTATAATATACGTTGGTATATTATTAAAAAGTGTGGATATAGACTATAGTAACACACAAAATATGTTGTTAAATCTCATCCAAAATCAACATTAAAATTGTGCATAATTATATGTCAAATAGACATATACCTACATATATTGTACCTATAGTGACACTTTTGTATGTCACTATATGTAACATTTCTTGTAGTGGCTATTACCTCTCGTAAAAAAAATAAAAATAAAAGAAATTTCGTAAGATACCTGTGTTATTTGAGAAAGGTTCGCACAATTTGCAAAATACTAACTATTTGTTTCAATTTTGATTATCACATTCCATAAGTGACAAACGACTCGATTTTTGGAATAGGGAAGTTTCCTGTCAAAATCATAACTATTTTTTAAAATGTTTTAATCAGAATAAAAACATTTGTTAATTATTACAGCTAAAGTCGTCACACTAGTTTCATCTGTTATTTTTATAAAATAAAAATATAAAAATAATTTAATTTATTTTGTATGCGTATTGATGGATTTTCCTTCTTGAGAAGAAAAAAAAAATGTGATACTAAATAAAAATAAGAAATAGAATACTAGAAATTTTATAGCAATACAGTAGAAAGAAAAAAGAGGAAAACTCTCTTTCATTCTAAGTCGCTCATTTAGTTAGCAGTTTTGGTTAAAAGCTTATTTCTCACATTGTTTTGATATATTAAAGTAGAAAGTTTCTGAAAGAAAGATAACCTCACTTCTATATGAGAGAAAAAATCTTTTTGAGTGAGCTATTAAAAGAGTGTTTAATTACAATGTTTGTGAGAATATTATTATTATTATTATTATTATTATTATTATTATTATTATTATTATTATTATTATTATTATTATTTTTGTTGTTGTTGTTGTCGTTGTTATTGTATTTCCATTATATTTTTAGTGAAAATTATTCATTTGTCTATCGTGATTACACAAAGTGTAGGAAAAGTTAGATTCAGGGATAATGATTTATTATTTGGTAATGTATTAAGCATTTTATTTGTTATCTTTCCCAACAAGTGATATTAGAGTTTTGACTCATTATATATTTTAACATGTGTCATTCACAAATGGAAGAGTCAACCTTGACAACATCAACAATGATGATTAATTTAACCTCTTCAAATTATTGCATGTGGAAGCTTAGAATAGAGGATACTCTCTATTGCAAAGATTTGTATAAGCCTTTGCAAAATGAAAGGAAGAAATATGATGCAAAGTCTAATATTGATTAGACATTAATGAACATGAAAATTGTCAAAAAAATTCGACAATGGATAAACCATTATTATTTCATCATGTGGTAAAGAAACTATTGCATACCTGTTGTGGACAAAATTGGAGTCCATGTATAAGAGAAGACTGCCAAAATAAAGCCTCAACGATTCAACGATTAGTGAACCTCAAGTATAGGGAAACTCAAAGTGTTTTTGAACACTTAAGCATTTTTCAAGGATTGGTGAATCAACTCACTAATATGAAGATGGTAATGATAAGTTACAAGCATTGTTGCTTCTTGGCTCCTTGCCAGAAAATTGGGACATTTTTGTGGTTTCATTGAGTAATTCAAGCCCATAAGGTGTTATAATATTAAACATAGTGAAAGATGACATGTTTAATGAAGAATCAAGAAGGAGGGAACAAGGGATGCTAACAGAGTTTGATGTACTTGTCATGGAATATTGTGGAAGAAATATCAACAAGAAAATGCACTCTAAAGAAAAGTAAAGGGCAGGTCAAGAGATAAATTCAAAGGAAGGTTGAGGACAAGAAGAGATGAAGAATGCTACTATTGTCACAAGAAAGGCCACATGAAAAGGGAATACAGGAAGCTCAAAAGAGAGCAAGTACTAGAGAATGATTATGCAAGTAATGTAACTACTACTATTTTTCATCGAGATGAGGAAATATTTGTTTGTGATGTTGGTCATGTTAATTTGACATCACAAGATACATGTTGGGTTGTGGATTTTAGTACATTATTTCATGTAACCTCATGATGAAGGGATTTTTGTACACCTATACAAGCGGTGATTTTTTTCATGTGAGAATGAGAAATGATAATAGATCCAAGATTGTGGGAAGAGATTTTTCTTTATAAATAAATACTAGTTATCACCTAACTTTGGAAGACATGAGACATGTTCTTGACATGTGTCTTAATTTAATTTTCATAGGACTATTAGACGAAGAAAGGTATACTAGTGTGTTTAGGGAGATAAAATAAAAGCTAATGCAACATTCCTTGGTGATAACCCAATGTAAGAAAATAAATAGTCTTTAAGTGATAGAACCTAAAGTCAACAATGCGTGTGTTAATGTCCTTATAGAAGACTCTTTAATTGGTTATGGCATAATAGGCTCAGGAATATCAGTGAAAAAGGCCTTTAAATTCTAGCCAAAAGAAATATATTAGCAAGTTTGAAAGGAACAAATATGTTTCTAAAGCCATGTACGCATTGTTCGACTAGAAAGCAACATATAACTTCCTTCTGCTACAAGGCTCCACATAGGAGACCAAATGAATTTATTTATCCATCACCCATCCACAAGTAAATTCATCCTATTCATCCATTACTTTTTCAAAATCCATTGGATTACAACATGTGATGTTTATTGCATTGAGATTTTAAAAGACTATTTTGACATTAAAAAAAGGTCTTGTGAATTTTGAAAGATTATATGAAGATGTACTGACTTATAAAGAAAAGGGAGAAAAATAAAATATTTCAAAATAAAAATTATTTAATTTTGAAAACATCTCTTTTACGGATGGATTGGATATCCATTCATAAAAAAAAATTTGTTAATTGATGGATTGAATAATTTTCTTACTTTAAATGGATCGAATGCATTGGATTTTAATATGAATTTTTAATGGATCTAAATGGATTAATAGATTATTTTATCTCATCCATTATGATCCGCCTAAAAAATTAACTGATTCATTCATTTTCCATCCCTACTCTTACTCGTGGAGGTGCAAGGTACTTGGTGACCTTTATTGATGACCATTCTAGGAAGGTTTGAGCATTTTCCCTCAAAACAAAAGATCAAGTATTTGTAGTATTCAATCAGTTTAATGCTAGTGTTGAGCGAGAGACTAGTATAAAGTTAAAATGTGTTCATACTAACAATGAAGTAGAATATCGAGAGCCTTCAAACATTATTGTATAAGTAATTTGACATGAACAATTTGTTCCAAAGACTCCCCAACATAAAAGAGTGGTAGAAAGGATGGACATAACTATTGTTGAAAGGGTGAAAACATTGTTATCTCATGTTAAATTACCTAAGAGTTTTTAGGGTGAAACTCTCATGACTATGATTGATTTGATCAACTTATCCCTTTCAGCTTCATAAATGGTGATGTTCCTAACAATGTGTTGGACATGTAAGAGGTATCCTACAACCATTTGAAGGTGCTTAGTTGTAGAGAATTTGTTCATATTCTTAAAGATGAACAATAAAAACTTGACTTTAAGTCGAAAGAATGTGTCTTCGTGAGATATGGAAATGAAGAATTTGGCTACAAATTATCAGATCCTATCAAAAATAAGATTATTATAAGCAAATATGTTATTTTATTTGAAGACCAAAATATTGAAGATATTCAAAAGGGTGTAAAATCAATTACTTCTAGTGAACATCTAATCAACTTGTATCTTATTCCTCTTCTAGAACTTTATGGGGAGATGTAATATAAGATACAAGAGAAGTAAAAAATGAACATCAAGTTGGTAATAATTTAACTGAAGAAGTAGTGAATGGTAATAGAAGGGATAATATTCTTGATAATATGGATGTAAATTATGAGGACAGAACACAAGATACCCAAAAGCATTAATTGAGAAGGTCACTTAGGATGTCTATACCACAAACCAAAATATCCTACTATGGAATACATTTTACTAACTTATGAGGAAGAACCAAAGTCTTACAAAGAAGCTATGGTGGATGACCATAAGGAGTGGTTGAAAGTTATGCAAGAAGAAATATTATCCTTGCATAAATACCAAACTTATGAATTGGTAGAGTTACTAAAAGTTAAAAGTGCACTTAGGAATAAATAGGTGCACAAGTTAAAGGCTAATGGGGATAGCTCATGGCCCCAATACAAGGCAAGATCAGTTGTAAAAGATTTCAGTCAAAAGAAAGGTATTGACTTTGAAAAGATATTTTCACCATGGTGAAGATGTCATTCATTCAAGTGGTACTTTGTTTTACTGGAAGTTTGAATCTAAATGTGGAATAGTTAGATGTGAAGACACTGCAAAAAAAATGTTAAATAGTGGAGGTTATTTTGTGGAGGTTTTAAATACCTCCTTAATTTATTAAAAACTACAATTTTTTTATTTAATTTGCATATTTTTATAACCTCTATTAATTAAATATTATTTTTCCAGTTTTCGCCCTCAAAAAAACTTCCCTCTAAAAAAAATCCCAAAATTCGCAATTTCCCTCTCCAACTTTACGAATTACCTATTCAACAAAATAAAAAATTTGTGACTTCCCTCTCCAAAGAAATCACAAACCCCACGACTCCCCTCCCTAAAAAAATCAAGAAACTCACGATTTCCCTCTCCAAATAAATCAACCAACCCTTTGAATCAAACCCTTCGAAACCCCTAACCATTGATTCCATTCTTAAGCACCGTGACTTCCTCCAACGGCGACAACGGGTGAGACTTGTTCTCCGGCACCTTAGCTTGAGCGAGGCCACCTTCGAACAAAGAAATTAAGAAGCGATGGCGAGAGTCCCACTTGGAGCATTCTCTAAACCAGCCAGAACTGTGGCAATGGCAATATGTAACCTCTCCCTTTTTCTGCATCTACAGTAAAATAGAAATCCCTTAGCCCTCTCCTACGTGCCTCCCATAGTGATCCCTAAATCTCATGGTGATTCCAGTTGCCTCCGAGTAAAATAGTTGTTCTTATTGTCGCCGCTCATCTTGCTCATATCGCAACTCTACAAAGGTTTTCTTTTTATTTTCCTTTGTTTTTTTTTAACTTTGACATTGTTGGGATGATATTGGGTTTGTTTGCTCCCTGTTTTAAAAAATATTTTCTGTTTCCAACTAACAGGCAGTAGCTGCTGGGAGCCTAATATATCGTGTAATAGTTTTGTTTCTCAATTCAATTCGCGTAAGCTGTTCCTATCCTGCATTTTTTTACTGGCAGTGATTATAAAGTTGCAATGCTTATAAATTTAATTTATTATCTAGTTGATGTAATTGCTCATTCAAGGGTTATCTTTTATATGTGTTTGCCATTGCATCTTATATCTTTTGTGCAATACTTGGTTTTCAAGTGTTATTAGGCATCATGTTAAAAAGAGTTTTTCTTAAATTTTTATTTTTTCAACGTGCTATTTGTTTTTGATGAATCTACTTTAGTGGCTCACTGTGTTAGGTTAGTATGAATCTCCATTAGAGGCAGTGGATGTACATTAGCAAGCTAATTAATATAGGCATCTATTTTATTTTTCCTGTACTCACGTCTTTGTATTGCTTTTTTAGCTTCATGAATTTTGAAGGTTCTCTTTTGTAGGATGTTCATATGTGCATGCTAATCAATGGAAAACACTTGAGCTTGAGTTAAAGCTAAATAATTTAGTGCAAATTTGTGAAAAAAGATAGCATATGATTTGTTTAATATTTTCCCTTACCTTTTCAATCAATATGAATTTGAAGTCACCAGTTTGTAATCACTTGCTTTACTTTCAAGACTAGTGTTCTTTTTACAGTTCTATATAATGATGCATGTTTACAGTGGAATTTTATAATTGAATACCCTGTAATTGATGACTGAAAGTTTTACGAGGACAGTTGAATGAATCAACGATCAAAGTCTCAAGTAGCTTAATACTCGTGTAGCTTATTTTATTGCTTCCTTTCTATGTTCCTTTGTAACAAAACTGGTGCTATGCAAGTGGAGGCAATATTAGACAAGGAGAATTTCACTTTGGAAGATCTTCTAGATGAAGAGGAAGTGATCCAAGAATGCAAGGCCTTAAACAATTGTCTTATTAACTTGTACGTGTCTGTTTAATTTAAATCATTTCAGTTTTTCATTCTCCTTAACAAAACCGCCACTAAACACTCACAATACCAGAGGTTTCTAAAAAACGCCGCTAATTGCTTGAGGTGAATGTAACTGCAAAGGTTTTTAGAAACCTCTACGATTTATTTTGTGGAGAGTAAAAACCTCCACTAAACGTAAAAATAACCTCCACTATTTAGCTTATTTATTGTAGTGAGACTACATTTCTTCATGGTGCTCTAGAAAAAGAAGTTTTCATGGAACAACTTGAGGAATTTAAAGTCAAAAGAAAAAAAGATCTAGTATGTTAAGTTTATATGGACTTAAGCAAGCACCATGTAATTGGTACAAGAAGCTTGACTCCTTCATGATTGAGCATAGATATCGAGGGACTGCTTCTGATCATTGTGTCTTTGTCAAGAAATTTCATGATGGTGAGTTTATTATACTATTGTTGCATGTGGATGATATGTTGATCATAAGACAAAACAATGACAAAATTAGAAAGTTAAAGGAAGAAATGAAGAAGTCATTTTTGTTGAAAGAGTTAGGACTCACGAAGCAAATTCTTGGAATGATTATCTCTCGTGATCGAAGTGAAATAAATTTGTGGTTATCACAAGAAAATATATCGATAAGGTATTAGAGCAATTTCACATAAAGAAAGCAAAACAAGTAGCTACTCCACTTGCTAGTCACTTTATGCTTAACTCAAAGCAAAGTCCTACATGTGAAGATGAAAAGGAGAAAATGAGCAAGGTGTCGTATGCCTCGACTATTGGAAGCTTAATGTATACAATGGTGTGTACACAATCAAAGATAACACATGTAGTTAGTATTATTAGTAGATATCTAGCCAATCTAAGAAGAGAGCATTGGAATGTTGTGAAGTGGATTTTAAGATATGTTAGAGGAACTTCTAAAATGTTTATGCTTTGGAAGTAGGAGACCTAATTTGATTGGCTACACAAATGCAAATATGGCTAGAGATATTGATTTTAGAAAGTTAACTTCTAGATATCTAATTACATTTTCAAGGGAGCAGTATTATGGTAGTCAAAGTTACATAAGTGTTTTGCTTTATTTGCCATAAAAGGTAGAGTTTATTACTATTACAAAACTTTGCAAAGAAATGTTATTGATGAAGCTATTCTTGCATGAGTTAGGGTAAGAATAACAAAATTACATTGTCAATTGTGATAATCAAAGTGTTATCCACTTGAGCAAGAATTCAAGTTTTCATTTGAGATCAAGACACATTGATGTACAATATCATTGGATATGAGGTGTATTGGAATCCAAACAATTACAACTTGAAAAAGTTCATACGGATGATAATAGTTTAAATATGATGACCAAGACCTTACCTAAGGACAAGTATGAATTTTGCATAATAGCAACTGGAGTACTGGAGCCCTCCACCTAATTTAGGAGGGGGAGATTGATGTGTTTTCCTTTTTTAGTGGAAAATAGAAACATAAAAAAATATAATACTAAGTAAAAATAAGAAATAGAGTATGAGGGATTTTATAGTAACACAATGGAAAGAAAAATGAGAAAAACTCTCCTTCATTCTAGGCCACTTATTTAGCTAGCAATTTTGGTTATAAAAGTTTATTTCTTTCATTGTTTTGAGAAACCAAAACAGATAGCTTTTGAGAGAAAGATAACCTCACTTCTACATAAGAGAGAGAATCCTTTTGAGTGAATTATTAAAAGAGTATTTAGCTATAATATTTGTTAGATTATTATTATTATTATTATTATTATTATTATTATTATATTTTGTCGAAGCTATTCAGTGTGAGAAAAATTAGATGTAAATATAATAATTAATTCTTTAACTTTGTGTTAATCAGTTTTGTTTGTTATCTTTCGTAACACTTATGTAATCCCTACTTGTTAATATAAAAAAAATAGATAAAAATAGTATTAATAATATTGTATATAAATTTTGTGTTTTGCTTAATTTGATCACAATTCAGTTGGATATGGTGGCAGATGTAACTTTTATTCTTGAATTTTATTTTTCTTAAACAATTATCGACGTTTCATACTAAACATGTGCCCTTAACCTCCAAGAACCTGAATGTCATCAATATGGACAAGCTATATAGATTTTCTTGATGGCTTCCAAAACCCAAAACAAAACGGGAAAACTCATGCCAAAATCATTAGAAAATAAATGTACCAGGCCCAACAAGACATGATGAATTCAAAGATTCCCCTTCAAGCACGATCTTCTGTTTACAAGCCCACATCTGAAACATGCGATGAATGAGGAAGCCCAAATTAATGAAGGGCCCAAAAAGAAATATCTGTAATTCAAATCATCATCACGTCTATTCAAGTGTACCTGGATTTTCTCAATCTCCTTCAACAGTTTCACTATATTTTGCACTTTGCACTTCTCAATGCACATTTTGAATTCTACCAAAGAAAACTATAGAGAAGCGTGTTGACCGAGATATTTTCATTATTCTGTTCTAGGTTTTTCACACTCCACCAACTATGTAATGCAAGGAGAAATGCACGTATTCCTTTCAACATTTTTTTTTTTATCAATATATAAAATTCATGAGTTTCACTGAATAAAACATGCCTTACTTCATGACAAGTAGACCTCGCGTGAATATTATTTAATAATAAAGTATAAATTCGAAAGAGTATATTAAAAGGTATCTTACAAAAATTTCGATCCGTAGCATAATACCTAAAATTCTTATAAGTAGGTATGCTCCAAAACAAAAATCATTAAGGTAAAAATAGTCGTAAAACCATATACAAGATTCAGAATTGAACTTTCAACTTTCAAGTTCAATTTTGTTATGTATGCTCCTTTTAAGTTCACGGGGGCAAGTGGGTTGTTATCACATAACTTTCTTGACTTGAAAAAATATTTATTTTTACAAATAGTTAAGCAGTCAATTTAGAAAGGAAACTAATTGCCAGATATTCAAACTTTAATTAACACTTGCATAGAGAAAAGATATATATATATAT